CGTGCTGCCGGGACTGACCCCAGCGATCGCTCCCCGAGTCGTATCCCAGCGGCTCCTGGGTCCTAGCGAGAAACCCATCGCGTGGCGTTTCGCCTCTCTGTGCCTGGCTTCTGTTCCACTCACAGGCTCCAACGTCAGAAGGGTCCGTCATGAACATCTAGCCCAGAGATTCTAATGAGGAACCGTCTTTCATCTAGTGGGGGAAATGAGTGTCACAGTTTCCTAAAATACTTAATGAACTTTAGGAGAAACCAGTAAACATGCACAGAGGTAAGCGGGGAATTGGTTCCCGCTATTGTGGGGAACTTTCCTGACTTAAACACTTCTCGGGTGGAATCAAATAGCAGAAGGATCTGAGTCCTCGCTCCCTTCACCCAGAGTCTGCCTCACCTGGAGGGCTCCCTTGCACTCTCCTGTGTGGCAAAGTCCTTATAACCGCGACAAGGCTGGGCCCAGGCTTCCTGAGGGGCTCGTCCCCCAACCTGGTTGTGACCACTCAGGACACGGGCTAGAGTGTCCACACTCCAGGTACTTTCTCTGCTATGGACGCTTCCCTGACCATTGTCTATAGTTCAGAACAAATGCAATTTACAACACAGCAGCTAATAAAAGAAATCAGGAAACAATGGGAAAGGTGAAAGGAAAACACTTTGCCCCACTCTGTGGGCACTGGGGAAGCACAAACAGGGTCTCTAGAATGCCAAGGCAATTCACAGTCTGTCCCTCCCACGTCCCAGGCCTCCTGCCCAGGCCCTGACTGTGCTACAGGGATTCTGCAGGTCAGACTCCTGCTCTGATGGTGGCCACATGCCCTCAGGCTCTAGGTGACAGGACCTTTCTTCCCAGTGTCTCTGGAAAGGTGCAAATTCAGGGGGCAGATAAATAGCCCCCAAACTTGGTAATCTCTGTAAACTGATTGGAGGGCAGAGAGGGGCAGAATCATGATCTTTGAGCACGTCTGGCTGCTGACCTAGTTCTGTCCCTGCCCTCTCCCAGGGTTCCACGGGGTGCAGGTCATGGAATGGGGCACCCCCGGGGGGGGGGGGAATTCCAGTACAATGGGGATGACTTCATCAGCTTCCACATCCAGCCTCAGGCCCCTTACCCCTGTCTGTGTCCCAACCCCTGCTTCCTGGAGCCATGGCCCTGCTCCCGGTCCCACCTCAAGGGGGTGGGGGGCACAGACAGGGATAAGGGGGGGCACTGCACCCCTACTTTAAAAAGTGTTCCACTGGGCCCAGAGCAATTCCAGCCTCTCCGCCTGTGATTTGCCGGGCGAAACCAGTCATGGCCGCACCTGGGATGCTGGGCAGAAGCCTATGTTGTGAACTCCTTAACATGTTACCAGTACAATTTTAATAGCTGAAACGGTTACTTTTTACATGCTATTTTCATCCTTAGTCTGGACACCTGCCTTGTAGCTTCTGAGCCCTTAGACAGAAACCTCCACCTACCCCCAAAGTTTCAGTGATTTTTGTGGTAAAGGAATTCCCCTCTGGCTGCTGGGTGGGGCAACCCCTCCCCGTCTCCTGCCCCATGGGGTGGGGGAGCTGCCCTTGTATCTCTCCCTCTACCCAACCTCTACCCTCTTTCTGACCCTCCTCCAGCCAGTCTGCTCTTGCTCTCAGTCTATGCCAGCCTCCCCCCAACATTATGCATTTCCCACGCAGTGACACCCCCACTCAGAGTTTCCTTCTATTACAACCTGTCCCCATCCACCCCATAAGTCTTCCCTGATTCCCCTGCATCGCCCCCTCCCTTCAGCACCCTGCCCACTGCATCCTCCTCCTGCCCGACCCATCCCTCATCCCCCTTCAATCCCACCTTATCTACACCCCCTTCCCCTCTTAAGCCCTCATTCCACTCCCCCACTCTTCTTCCTCCCCCAGGTGTGGCTGTCCCAGCCCCTAGCACAGTGTGGGTTGGCTTCCCCCTGCTTTGCACCCAGTTTGAGCTGGCAGGTGTCATATAGGAAACTGTTCCCTGTAGGACTGTGCTACCTGCACCAGTTGATGATCTGTAACTGGTTTCTAAGGCCTGGTCTACACTACGAGTTTGGGTCGACTTTAGCAGCGTTAAATCGAATTAAGCCTGGACATGTCCACACAACGAAGCCCTTTTTTCGACGTAAACGGCCCTTTAAACTGGTTTCTTTACTCCACCTCCGACAATGTGATTAGCACTAAAATCGGCCTTTGCAGATCGGATTTGGGGTAGTGTGGATGGAATTCGACGTTATTGGCCTCCGGG